GGGGCGGGGCCGGGCCGGGCAGAGGGGCTGTCACTGAAGTGAAGTTTTCTTTTCCTTTCAGCTCCCGCGCCGGGTTTGGCCGGCAGGAGCGGGGTCTCAGCGTGGCTTCCTCCGGTGCGGGGCCGCAGGCTCGGATCACCGAGGCCGCATGTGACAAGGTCGCGTAAGGCCCCGGTTTTACCAGTTTCTCAGCCTGTCCAGCCCCGGCTCCCTGGGAACAGGCCCGCTCTTCGCTTCCTTTGCTTTCCTGCCTATGGAAAAACAGGGCAGCCGTTTTCCTCTTGTAAAGAACCTGGGGAGACCATGGCAAGTCCCAGTGTTTGTTTTGGGTTTGTTTTTTTCAACGTGATGGATTCTTATTTGAAGTCCTTGGGCCTGTTTTGTGAAGCTTGTTTGTGCGCTGCAGAGCACTAACGTTGCGTGGCACCTGGCGGAGAACCAGCTGCTGAGTCTGCCTGCGACATGCCAGCCTGTCCTTTCACAACAGCGGTTCTCAACCTCTTTTGTGCCAGGACCCATTTGTAAACATCGATGGCCAGTCCCGACCCAGTGCCCTCACTCTTGACCCGCTGCCCCCCAGGCTCCCAGTGTGTGGGGCAGGGGGAGCCCCAAGCAGCCCCTCCTAGGCTGGAACTCTGCCAGTCTGCAAGGGAGAAGCCAGTTTCCCACATTTTTATCCTTTAAAAGGAGAATCCTTGTTTAAAGTTTGTGACCCTTCCACATATTCTCGCGGCCCACTTTTGGGTCATGACCCACGGGTTGAGAAACGCTGTTTTAGACAAGGGCCTTGATAGGGCTTGGTTATTTCTAGGTTTAACCATACTAGATCCTCTGTGTGAGCTAGTCTAAGAGACTGTGTAGGAACATCAGCCGATAGAGAATGTGCCGTTTCATTTAGTGAGGTCTTATGAGCACATAGTAAAAGACTAGCTGGATGTATCTGAATGTGACCTGCAGAACACTTGTATTCTTTGTGCTACCCTAGCCACCTTTCAGTTTCCGATTGCAGTACAAGGGCTCTTAACTTGCATACCCAGACCTGACCCGAGCAGGGTGTGGGGCCCAGGGCAAATCAGCCCATGCAGGGCCCCTCCCCCGCTCTGATCCCATGGGTCCTGGACCCAAAGAAGCTGCTGCTCCTACCATCAGCAGTGGCGGCCGGGGTGGGGAGGTAGTGAGTGGCTAGACACGGAGTCGTGGCTCTGCCCAGCTCTGTGCCGCCTCTACTCCGCCCTGCTCTGCGGAGACCCCCAAAGCACAGGGCCCAAGGCGGTCACCCCAATTCACCACCCCCTAGGGACAGCCCTGTGCATACCCCCAGGTAGACTTGTGGAGGGAAGTATTCTTTAAAAGCCACAAAAGCTCTGACAGCCCCAGAGCACCCAGCTCTTGGGAACATTGAAGCAGCTTCCCCTGCCACACACCTGGGCACCCCACACAGATTTTGAAGTGCAGGAATGATCTTTATTCAAGTCAGCGTTAATGAGAAGGGCAATTGGAAAATTGCAGTTAGTGTCATCTTCCTTAATGTCCAGCCATTCAGGGGCTTTTCCCCGTGCTCAGGGAAAACTGGGGAAAGGGGACATTGGCCACCGGGTATTTACTAGGCCTGTGCGAATCAGCTAGTATTCACTTCAGATTCAGCCAGTTTGGGGGACAATGATTTGATTTGGTGATTTGAATCACTGTCCCAAATCGATTCAGCTGAATCTGATTCAGAGATTCCGCCGCTGCCAAATCTCCAGTCGCCCTGGCCCATCCCCTGCCTGCTCTTGGAGCCCACCAGTGGCTGCCCCGCTTGTCCCAGCTCCCAGCACTTGGGGAGGGAAAAAAAGCCCCTACTCACTGGGAGCTCCTGGGCAGGGGGATAATTCTTGCTGCCCCACTCTGCATGGGGGGGGCTCTGCACCAGCCCCCTGACCCTCCCTGCTCCCCCAGCTCCCCTCATGGCTGCCCCGCCCGCCCCAGCTCAGACCCTTTAAGAAAAAAATAAATAAACCCCCCCGGACTCACTGTTCCTGCCCAGTGGTGGCGATCCCCGCTGCCCCGCACCATATGGGGGGGTCTGCATGAGCCTCCCGAAGCCCCAAGGCTGCTGCAGGAGCTGGTGTGTCACAGGGTTTTTCTCACTCTTTCTTTTATTTTTCTTAAAGAGCCAGAGCTGGGCCAGGCAGGGCAGCCATGATGGGGGCTGGGGGAGCAAGACAGAGCCCCCCATGTAGTGGGGGGTAGCCGGGATTGCACACCCCCACCCACCCGGTAGCATCCAGTAAGTGGGGGCTTTTTATTAAAGCACCGGAAGCTGGG